GCAGCAGCAGCAGCAGCAGCAGCGGAAATGGCAGCAGCAACAGCAGCAGCAACAGCAAAGGCAGCAGCAAAGGGGAAGAAGAGTAATTAAAAAGCAAATTAAAATTAATGGCAAAAAAGCTGCTGCTGAGGAAGCAAAAGGCTCAGCAGCAGCATGCTGCAGCAGCAGCAGCAGCAGCAGCAGCAGGCAGCAGCAGCAGCAAATAATGGACCAACTGCAGCAAATAAGAAATAAAAAGAATAACGAATGACATAAATAAATGAATTAATAATAATAATCAGTAATAGTCAATAAATGAAACAGCAGCAGCAGCAAATCGGCAGCAGCAGCAGCAGCAGCAGCAGCAGCGGGAAGAAGAAAAAGGAAAAGTCGAAATAAATGGAAAAGTGCGGAATTTGAAAAAGAAGAAAATTAGAAATAAAATAAAAGGAAATAAACAAGCAAAGGATAGCAAGGAGACAAAGGGACAGCAGCAGCAGCAGCAGCAGCAGCAGCAGCAGCAGCAGCAGCAGCAGCACACTTCTCGAGAGGCCGGAGGAATGAAATAAAAAATAAAAAATAAATTGGGAGTTAAAGAAAGGAGTTGGGAGCGCTGAGGTGTATGTACACCGGGCTTTGTAGGTCTTGCTGTTCTTGGCGTCGAGCTGCTGCTGCTGCTGCTGCTGCTGCAGCAAATGCTTCTGCTGCTGCTGCTGCTGCTGCTGGGATGGAAGGGCGCGAAAAGGAAATGCAAAAGATGAAGAGATAAAAACAATCAAAGCGGAGAAGGGGGCGAAAAAGAAGACAAATTGGGGTGTATGTACACCTCAACAGCAGCAGCGGCGGTTTCTGTGCAGCAGCCGCGCAAGGGAGACAGAGACGAAGCAGCAGAGGCTCGTTTGCTGCTTCTTTTGTTGCAAATAAAAAGCAAATTAAAATAAATAATAAATAATTTAATTAATTTCTTTTTTTTTCCCTTTTCGGCCGTCTGCCGCGCGTTTCTGCTGCGGTGTCACTACACCTCCGTCCGCAGCTTCGTCTCCGCCTCGCATTGAGCATTTTATGATCAGCGAGCCTCCAAATGCACAAATAAATAAATAAATAAATTACAAATAAATAAATTTATTTATTTCTTTTTTATTTTCCACTTTTATTCCCCTTTTGCCGCAGCTTTCCCCCGTTTCTCCTTCCCGCACTCCCCCGCGCCGCTGCCGCCGCTGCCATCGAGACAGAGCAGCGCCGGAAAAACGGAAGTAAAGCGCCAAATAAAGATTAAAGTGAAATTAAAAATGAAATTAAATAAAATAAAATAAAATAAAATGAAAAAAGGAATTCGCGAGGGGCATTTAGACCCGCGCAGACCCTCCAGCACGCAGGGAGCAGAACAAGTACTTCCAAACCCGAAAGTTGAATTAAATCACGATTTTGCTTGCATCTTTCTACCAAAAAGTCTTCAAATATAAATAATAAACTGTTTTATTCTTTTAAATAAACACATTTGCAAATTAAGTGCCGAAAGAAGACTGAAAGCTGTACGCGGAACTCGGGGTGTACGTACACCCCAAGTTCCGCGTGCAGCTTCTCGAGTCACTTGGGGTGTACGTACACCCCAAGTGTCTGTGCAGCAGCAGCTCAAAACCCTTTCAAAGGCTCATAAATAAACAAATAAATAAATAAATAAAATGTCTCAATTGCATTCACTTTGCATTACCTATTCGTCCCTTATTTGGTCCTTTCAAAGCAGCCAAACCCTAAACCCTAAACCCTAAACCCTAAACCCTAAACCCTAAACCCTAAACCCTAAACCCTTATTTACTTCGCAAATGAGGGTTTAGGGTTTTTTGTTCAAATTGAATTTCTGTCTCTTTTCCTAGACGGAGAGCCAGAGATAATACCCTCGCTGCTGCTGCTGCCCAGAAACAACCCCAAACCCTAAACCCTAAACCCTAAACCCTAAACCCTAAACCCTAAACCCTAAACCCTACATAAATAAACAATAACTAACAAAATAAATAAATAAATAAAAAGTTCAAAAGCTCTATAAAAGGGGGCCTGGCCCCGAAGCTTTCGCGCTGCGGTGCTCCGGACGAAGCAAAAAAGAAAACAAAAGAAATAAATAATTTCAATTTAATGACTATTGACATTATTAAATAAATAAATAAACAAATAAATAAATAAATAAATAAATAAATATATAATATTTATTTATTTATTTATTTATTTATTTATTTATTTATTTATTTATTTTAAATGCAATTTAAACAATCCGCACTCGCCGCCCCAGAAAGGCCCGATAAACAATCCCGGTGGCTCTCAGCGCCGCAGCGGCTGCAGCGCACAAACTGCAGCAGCAGCAGCAGCAGCAGCAAGAGCAGCAGCAGCAGCAGGAAGAGCAGCAGCAGCAGCAAGAGCAGCAGCAACAGCAGCAGCAGCATTTCATGTGCATGTGAAGTGCCAGTAGCCGCACAAGCACGGTGTTCAGGTGTACGTACACCTGACGGGCTTCAGCTTTTAATGAGCAGAGAATGCAGAAATGAAATAAATAAAATAAATAAAATTAATTAAAAAACAAAAAATGTAAATAAATGAATTTAAATGAATTCAAATCTCTTTTACTTATTGCAAGTAAATGAAAAAGTAAATCCGAAAGTTCTTGGCAAGTGCGCAGTTCGGGTGTACGTACACCTCAGATTCGCATGCAGACGCTCAGGTATTTAAAATTGACTATTTTTGGATTAAATTAAATGGCATTTAATTAAATAATATATTTTATTTATTTATTTCATTTTTAAAAATCTCACCCCGACAAAAACGGGAAAAGAACAAACAGAACACTTTGCTGCCGAATCCGTATCCAGAAGAGGAAGCAGCTGCTGCACACAGCAGCAGCAGCAGCAGCAGCAGCAGCTATAAAGACAACTGCAGCAGCAGCTGCAGCAGCTCAGGACAAATGCAGCAGCAGCAGCAGCAGCAGCAGCTAAACGCAGTTGCAGCAGAAGGAACTGCAGCAGCTTAAAGAGGCGAAACAGCAGCAGCAACAGTAATCAGACAAAGCTGCAGCAGCAACAGCAGCAGATAAAGACACCTGCAGCAGCAGCAGCAGCTAAAGACAGCAGCAGCAGCTAAAGACAGCAGCAGCAGCAGCTAAAGACACCAGCAAAAGCCAAAGACACCAGCAGCAGCAGCAGCAGCAGCAGCAGCAGCAGAAAGAGGGCACCCACGGCCACCAAAGAAAAGCGAAAAAGCAAAAAGAAGCAAAAAGAAACAAAGAGAAGCAAAAAGAAAAGACAAAAAACAAAAAAGAATTAAAATAAAAATTAAAAATAAAATAAAAAAGAAAATAAAAAGAAAATAAAAAGAAAATAAAAAGACAAACCAAATAAAAACAAGAGCCCAATGTCAAATTCCGTTTTTGCGGCTGAGACCGAATTGGCTCTGACTGCAGCCACTGCAGCTGCAGCAGCTTCCGCACTGAAAAACAAAACAAAGAATATAAATAAATAAATAAATAAATAAATAAATAAATAAATAAATAAATAAATAAATAAATAAATAAATAAATAATAAATGAATTAGTGTTTAATAGTTTGATGCTTTTAGGGTTTGCTGCTGGGGGCACAGCCAGAGGGAGCGACAGGCAGAGGAAACCCTAAACCCTAAACCCTAAACCCTAAACCCTAAACCCTAAACCCTAAACCCTAAACCCTTTAAGACGAGCATATTATGTTAATTAATGACTAATTGAAAACAATTAATTATTTAATTAGAATGATTAATAATTAATTTCAACAAGACATTACTGGAGCTTGTAGAAGTCCGTTTGGGCCCGTTTTTTGGTCTTTTTGGACGAAAAAAAATTCTGTTTTATTTAAATAAACTAAATAACTTTTTAATTTAATTATTTCTTTTTTATTTCCCCCAAATCGCCTCAAAAAGTTCCATTTGGACTTCAAAAAACCCTTTTGAAGAAACTCACGGAGGCTGGGGGCTGCAGCGACTTTGTGGGCAGCGCAGACTTCCACAAAATCCCCCACAGAAATGCTGCTGCCTGTCCGAGCGCATGCAGCCCCAAACGCATGCAGCCCCAAATGCATGCAGCAGCAGCAGCAGAAGTGCATGCAGTCCCAAATGCATGCAGCAGCAGCAGAAGTGCATGCAGCCCCAAACGCATGCAGCAGCAGCAGAAGTGCATGCAGCCCAAAACGCATGCAGCGGGAGCGCATGCAGCCCCAAAAAGGGGCTTTTGAAAGTTTAAATTCGAAGGGAAAGCTGCTGCTCACGAGACTCCATTATCTTCTGCAGAACAGCTGCAGCGCAGCAGCAGCAGCAGCAGCAGCAGCAGCAGCAGCAAAATAAGAGTTGAAAAAGTTCAAAAATCCGAAAAATGGAGGAAAAAACGCAAACAGCGACATGTGCGAGACCACAGCTCCCCGATAAGACAAAAAGCATTAAAATGAAAAGCCGAGACAGATTTTTGAGTTTTAGAAGGAAAAGAAAAAGAAAAGAAAAGAAAAGAAAAAGAAAAAGAAGAAAAGGAAAAGAAAAGAAAAGAAATGAAAGCAGAAAATGCGAAAACGCGAAAAGCGCGAAAAACGGCGTTTTTGGGGTGTACGTACACCCCAGACTCACCAGCTGTACAGGCAGCTTCGGCGGCTTCCAGTCGGAAGAATTTGTGGAAAGATTTAGCCAAAGTGGCATCAAAAGTATTCTTTTTGTTTTCTTTTTCTTCATTTTTGTTTTTGTTTTTAGTTTTAATGTTTAGTTCTCCACTTTTGGCGTTTTCTCCGTCAAAAAAGCCAAACAAATCCGCTGCGCTCAGGCACAGGGAAACCCCCTGGCCGTCAAACCCGGACTGCAGCAGCAGCAGCAGCAGCAGCAGCAGCAGCAGCAGCAGCAAACAACAGGCAGCAAACAATTAAAACAATTTAAATAATTGAAGCAATTAAACAATTTGAATAATTAAAAGAGTTAAACAATTCTAATAATCAAAATAATCGAAAAACAAAACACTACATAATCCATCAACACCACTCGCGGGCGCGGTCTTTTGCTGCTGCTGCTGCTGCTGCTGCTGCTGCTGTTGCCGCTGCTGCTGCTGCTGCTGTTGCTGCTGCTGCTGCAGTGGGGGCAGTCTCTGCTGCGCCAGTTTCTGCGTCTGCTGCTGCTTGCATGAGGCCTTATGAAGGTTTCTTTTTAGACTCGAAAATGCATTTTTAATTAAAAATAAAAAAGTTTTAATTTTTTATTTTTTATTTTTAATTTAAAATTAAAAATTTATTTCTTTTTTATCAAAAGGCCTCACATGAATCTGCACGCCGCTGCCGCGAAGCGCTGCGTTGCACTCGGCAATAAAGCTGTCCAGGCTGCTGCTGCTGCTGCTGCTGCTGCTGCTGCTGCTGCTGCTGCTGCTGCTGCTGATGCTGCTGCTGCTGCTGATGCTGCTGCTGCTGCTGCTGCTGCTGTTGGGGTCTCCCCTGAGAGCAGCAAGGACGGCTGCGGCGTCGGCAGCGCGGAGGCTCTGCAGCAGCAGCAAAAGAGGAAAGTCTTTGGAACTAATTAATTAATTAATTAATTAATTAATTAGTTAATTAATTAATTATAATTTCATTTTATTTAATTAAATCTTTTGCTCATTTTGTGACTAATAAAACGCCATTTGCCCATTCGCCCTTCGCTCTCCCTCAGAGCTGCCTATACACCCGAAGCTGCCGATACACCCGAAGCTGCCTATACACCCGAAGCTGCCTATACACCTGAAAACCCCACAACTGCCTATACACCCGAAGGCCCCACAGCTGCCTATACAGCTGAAAACCCCACAACTGCCTATACACCCGAAGCTGCCTATACACCTGAAGGCCCCACAGCTGCCTATACACCTGGAGCTGCCCGTACACCTGAAGCTGCCTATACACCTGAAGCTGCCTATACACCTGAAGCTGCCTATACACCTGAAGGCCCCACAGCTGCCTGTACAGCCGAATGCCTCTGAGGTGTCTGTACACCTGAAGGCCTCACCCGCATCTTCAGCAGCAGCTGCACAAAGACAGAAATTTCTTCTTTTGGAGTTTTTGCTGCTGCTGCATCTTCGTGCTGCTTCATTTTGTTTTGAAAGCTGCTGCAGCAAGTGCTGCAGGGCTTCTTGCTGCTTCAGCTGCGCAGCAGCAGCAGCAGCAGCAGCAGCGGGCTCGCTGCTGCTCCTGCTGCTCCTGCTGCTGCTCCTGGCTGTGCTTCTGCTGCCTCTGCTGCTGCTGCTTCTGGCCTCGCGCTGCTGCAGGCTCTGCTGCTGCTGCCTGCCCTCCTGCTGCAGCTGCAGCCCCCGGTGCTGTCTGCGTCGTTGCTGCTGCTGGCTGCGCAGCTGCTGCTGCTCGCCGCGCCGTTGCTGCTGCTGCTGCTGCTGCTGCTGCTGCTGTGAGTTTTAGAAGCAGGGAAGGGCGCTGAAGGAGGGAAAACGAAAGGCGCAGCAGAATCGAGGCGGCTGCGCGTCCGGGGGGGAAAGTTGAGTTAAATTTGGAAATTAAAGTTTAAATTTGGAATAAATGAAAAGAAAATGAGTTTTAATTACATTTTGGGAAATAAAAAAAAGAAAAAGGGAATAAAATGGTCTTATTTGCTGCTGGGGCCAGCAGCAGACATGCGCATGTCGGTTTCGGGTGTACAGACAGCTCAAGCAGCCCGCGCGGTCCAGCGCGCCGATTAGTTCCAAAAAAGAAATAAAAGTGGAAAAGTAAAATAAAATTAAAAGTTGTTTTTAATTTGCAATTCTTTTGATCTATTTAGGAGTTCCCAGACTTCCTTTTTGCTGCTGCGCTGCTGCTGCTGCTGCTGCTCGGCCTCAGCAGCAGCACCCCTGCGCTGCAGCAGCTCCTTCTCTTCTTTTTTAATTCATTTCAAAAAGCAGCAGCAAAAGGAATTTCAATTTCTTCCCCTCCTTCTGTTTTTTAAACTGCCTTCGCTGCTGCTGCTGCTGCTGCTGTTGCTGCTGCTGCTGCTGCTGCTGCTGCTGCGGAGCCCCCTACATTTATCTTTTTCCCACTAAGTAAAGCAGCTTTTTCTTTTTTCTTTTTTTATTTTCTTTATTTACTTTCAAGGCCAAACTGCTGCTGCATAAATCCCGGGTGTACGTACACCCCAGCGCCTTCGCCCTGCTGCTTCTGCTGCTCCAGCTGCGCTGCGGCGTACAAACACTGCTGCTGCTGCTGCTGCTGCTGCTGTTGTTGCTGCTGCTGCTGCTGCTGCACTCCCCGCGCCTTCGCCTGCATGCAGCCGCTGCTGTACGTACACCTCAGCGCCCGGTATGGACTTGCCACCCAGCGACGGGCTGCAGCAGCAGCACTGCAGCAGCAGCAGCAGCAGCAGCAGCAGCAGTGGGCCAGCAGCAGGTGAAGAGGACCCTCCAAGTGCTCCAAGGGTGAGTGCTGCCAACGCTGCTGCTGCTGCTGCAGCAGCAACAGAAGCCGCAGCAGCAACAGGAGCCGCAGCAGCAACAGCAGCAATGGCAAAAAATGAGCAGCCACCAACAGCAGCAGGGACTGCAGCAGAAGCAGCAGCACCACCAGAATGGACAGAAGCAGCAGCAGCAGCATGGGGAGAAGCAGCAGCAGCAGCAGCATGGGGAGAAGCAGCAGCATCAGCAGCGGTGGCAGCAGCAGCTGGAGAGGGCTCTCCAGCAGCTGCAACAGCTGCTGCTGCTTCTGCTGCTGCTGCTGCAGTTGAAGCCTCAGCAGCAACTAGTGAGCCACCTCAAGCTGCAGCAGCAGCAGCATCACCGGGAACTGCAAGTCCAGCAGGAGGAGCAGCAGCAGCAACAGAAGCAGCAGCAGCAGCAGCAGCACATGACTCTCCTGCTGCTGCAGAGGACTGCAGGGGTTTGCTGCCACTGAGCAGCAGCTGTTTGGATTTGCTGCTGGACCCTTTGCCGTCTCAGGAGGAGCTGCTGCAGCCGCGCAAACTAAGCGAAGCAGCAGCAGCAGCAGCAGCAGCAGCAGCAGCAGCAGAAAGCAGCAGCAAAAGGCAGTGCGTTCAGCTGCCTCCTTTTGCAGTTGAAGGCGAAGCAGCAGCAGCAGCAGCGACGGACGAGGACAAAAGCGACATCTCGTTTGTTGCTGCTGCTGCAGCGGCAGCAGCAGCAGCAGCTGCTGCTGCTGCTGCTACTGCCTCCGCAGCAGCAGTAGGACTGAGAGAGTCCGCAGCGCAAACGGAGAAGCGAAAAGCAGCAGCAGCAGCAGCAGCTGCTGCTGCTGCTGCTGCTGCTGCTGGCAGCGGGCCCGCAGAAGCCGCAGCACCTGGCGTCGCCGCAGCAGCAGCAGCACCAGCAGCAGCAGCAGCAACAGCAGCAGCAGCAACACCAGCAGCAGCAGCAGCAGCAGCAGCAGCAGAGCTGCGAGAGGCCCTTGCTTGCGGCTACGACGTTTTTCGTGCTGCAGTTGTTCGCCTCAGCAGCAAATTAGATGCTGCTGCTGCGCAGCTGCAGCAGCTGCAGGCAGCAAAGGCAGCAGCAGAGCTCTTTTTGGACGTAGGCAGCTTTCTTTAGTTGCTTTCATTACTCTAGGGTTTAGGGTTTAGGGTTTAGGGTTTAGGGTTTAGGGTTTAGGGTTTAGGGTTTGGGGTTTATATTGTACTTGCCCTCTGCTGCTGCTCACTGCCCTGCTGCTCTTTCTTTGCTGCTGTTTCCCAGTTGGTTTTATTATTATTAATAATTATTTTTGTTTCAATTTTATTTATAATTATTTATTATTTATTATTTATTATTTATTATTTATTATTTATTATTTATTATTTATTATATTATATTTCCTTTTATTCGAAAAAACGTGCACTGATTGCTGCTGCTGCTGCTGCTGCTGCTGCTGCTGCTGCTGCTGCACTGCAGGAGCTGCGTTCGGAAATAGCGGCTACGCGTGCTGAGCGGCAGAGGACACGGAGGCAGCAGCAGCAGCTGCAGCAAGAGCAGCAGCAGCTGCAGCAGGAGCAGCAGGAGCTGCAGCAAGAACAGCAGCAGCTGCAACAGGAGCAGCAGGAGCTGCAGCAAGAGCAGCAGCAACTGAAACAAGAGCAGCAGCAGCTGCAGCAAGAGCAGCAGGGACTGCAGCAAGAGCAGCAGGAGCTGCAGCAAGAGCAGCAGGGACTGCAGCAAGAGCAGCAGGAGCTGCAGCAGGAGCTGCAGCAGGAGCAGCAGCAGCTGCAGCATGAACAGCAGCAACTGCAGCAAGAGCAGCAGCAGCTGCAGCAGCAGCAGCAGCAGCAGCATTTGGGCTTTCGTGTGTACTTTGACCGGCAGCCTCCAGCCAGCTGTGAGTCTCTAGCGCACTGGAGCTCTTGCAAGTCTGCTGCAGCAGCTGCTGCTGCAGACGCAGCAGCAGCAGCAGCAGAGTCGCCAGCAGCAGCAGCAGCAGAGGCGCCTGCTGCTGCTGCTGCTGCAGACCCAGATGCAGCAGCAGCAGGTGATGCTGCTGCCAGCCTCGAAGGCTCTGCTGGCGTTGAGCTGCTGATGCAGTCTTACTACACGGCCTTAATGGAAGCAGCAGATGCAGCAGCAGCGAGGCGGCAAGCAAGCAGCAGCAGCAGCAGCAGCAGCAGCAGCAGCAGCAGCAGTGAGGCAGCAGAGGGAAGCAGCAGCTCAGGGCGAAGCGCCTCGCCCTATTCTCGAGGCCTCTTTTCTTTTGAAAAGCTGTACGGCGACGGCCGCAGCAGCAGCAGCAGCAGCAGCAGCAGCAGCAGCGAGGGCTTCGCAGGCGCTGCAGCAGGAGCTGCTGCTGCTGCTGCTGCTCCCGGCGAGGGAGCTGCTGCGCTGCAGCAGCAAGCGCTGCTGTCAGCAGCAACTGAAAAAGTCAAAGGAGTTGCTTTTTGCAAAAGCAACAAGTACTGGATTTGCACCCGCATGGAGCAGGGCAAGCAGCAGTGCCGGTAACCCCAAACCCTAAACCCTAAACCCTAAACCCTAAACCCTAAACCCTCGTGTGCCTTTGCTGCTGCCAGCGCCCGCAGGGAAGGGGAGCGGAAGCAGCAGCTGCTTATTAGTGAAAGTGTGCGCACGAGCAGGTCACAACAAGCAAGCAGCTGCTCTGCTGCTGCTGCTGATGCTGCTGCTGCTGCTGCTGCTGCTGCTGCTGCTGCTGCTGCTCAGGTACTTCAGCGTGAAGCACTTGGGCTTCGAGTGCGCTCGCCGTCAGGCGATTCTGCTGCGGCAGCAGTGGAAGGGAGATGTCAATGAGGAGGTGCTGAAGGCCTTAAATGCAGCAGCAGCAAAACCAAACAGCAGCAGCAGCAGCAGCAGCAGCAGCAGCAGCAGCAGCAGCAGCAGCAACGGCAGCAGCAGCTCGAAGGAAGGGACGCAGGCGGCTCCAGGGGACCCAGGGACCCCCGATTCGGCTGAGAAGGCAGACGGAGAAAACGGATCGCAGCAGCAACAACAACAGCAGCAGCAGCAGCAGCAGCAGCAGCAACAGCAACACCAGCAGCAGCAACAGCAACAGCAGCAGCAGCAGCAGCCGGCAGTAGGGGCGAGTGGGCGTGGCGGCGCTGCCTTTGAGAATTGTGAGACAGCCCCACAGCCAGAAGGAGCAGCAGGAGCAGCAGGCACAGCAGCAGCAGCAGCTGCTGCTGCTGCTGCTGCTGCTGCTGCTGCAGTGCAGCAAGAGAGCGGCGGAGGAAAGAAGGAAAAAGTTGGTGAGGGGCCGCAGCTGTCTCAGGGATCTATTTTTGATCTATTTTTTGTTTTTAATCTTTTAATTATTTATTTTTATTATTTAAAGTTTTAATTTTGAAATAGTTTTCGTTTTGGAATTAGTTTTGCCTCTTTTGCTTCGCCGGGAGTTGAGGTGTACGTACACCTGGCGCTGCTGCTGCAGCGCGAATTGGAGCTTTGGAGTCCTTTTTGTTCATTTTTTCTTTTCTTTTGTTTTAAAAGTTTATTTATTTTATTATATTTCATTATTTTGAATTTATTTATTTATTTATTCTTTTATTTCCTCCGTTTGCCGCTTTTTTCGATTTGCTTCTTCGTTTCCGTTTGCTGCTGCGGCGGCTCGCAGCAATAAGCGAGAAATGAGCAAAACTAAATCATAAATGATAAATTAAACAAATTAAATTAATTTAAATATTTAAATTAATTTAATTAATTTAATTAAATTAATTAAATTAAAATTTATAAATCCGAAATAAATGAAAACAATTCCAAATAATGCACAAGTGGTGAGGTGTAACGGCAAGAATTCGAGTTAGACAATTTGCTTCCTGCTGCTGCTTTTTTCTCCTTTTTCGGATTCATTTCTTTTTCTTTTTTGTTTATTTTTTTATTTCTTTATTTTTATTTATTTCTTTTACTTGTTTATTTTATAGTTACTTTTAGCGCAATTAAAGTCTGCTGCTGCTGCTGCTGCTGCTGCTTCCACCAGCTGCTCTCTGCCGCCACCGCTGCTGCTGCTGCTGGTGCTACTACTGCTAATGCTGCTGCTGCTGCTGCTACTACTACTACTGCTAATGCTGCTGCTGCTGCTGCTACTACTACTACTGCTAATGCTGCTGCTGCTGCTGCTACTACTACTACTGCTAATGCTGCTGCTGCTGCTACTACTGCTAATGCTGCTGCTGCTGCTGCTGCTACTACTACTGCTAATGCTGCTGCTGCTGCTGCTGCTGCTGCTGCTGCAGCGCCACAAAAGAGGCGGAGGGAGCAGCAGGGCCGGGGGCTGCTGGGCGGCCGCTGCGGGCAAATGCCGCGGCCTCCAGCGGAGTTTGAGTTTGGCTCGGACAGCGACTTTTTGACAGGTAAAAAAGCAGCAGCAAATAGTCTCAAAAAGACCATTTGCTGCTGCTGCTGCTGCTGCTGCTGCTGCTGCAGCACGCGGTCAGGAGGGCCGAGTGGTTGCTGCTTTAGCAGCAAAAAACGGCAGCAAAATCGACAATTTTCACGCCAATCCAGCAGCAGCAGCTGCTGCAGCAGCAGCAGCTGCAGCAGCAGCTGCTGCTGCAGCAGCAGCTTGCGCGGCTGGCTGGCTGCTGCCGATTTGCTGCTGCTGGAAATGAATTTTGCTGCTGCTGGAAATGAATTTTGCTGCTGCTGGAAGTGAATTTTGCTGCTGCTTGAAGTGGATTTAAGTGAACTCTGCTGCTGCTGCTGCTGCTGCTGCTCTGCTGCTGCAAATCACCAAATTGCTGCCAGAGTTATATGCGGAAGCTGGAGCAGCAGCAAAAGTGCCTTTTGCTGCTGCGCTGCTGCTTTTGCTGCTGCGCTGCTGCTTTTGCTGCTGCAGTTTGCCATTTTTGCTGCTGCTGCTGCATTTCGTTGCTTCCAAGTGCGTTTTGCTGCTGGCGAATTGTTTGCAAGTCTTTTAGGATTTCTTTTTTAATTTAAAAGTTCTTTTTTCTTTTTTTTTTCAGAAAATGAAGAAGACAGAGAAGAAGAACTTCTTGCAATGAATGCAGCACTTCTGGCGGAGTGCGCCGACCGCTCAGCCCGAGGTGTATGTACACCTCAACCGGGGGCCCCCCCCCTCCTGGGGGCCCCCCAGCAGCTCCCGTCTGCTGCTGCTGCTGCTGCTGCTGCAGCAGCTTTGTCTCCTCGTGGGGCCCCATCGGGGGCCCTTCCTCCCCTTTTGGGGGCCCCCCTGGGGGCCCCCCTTTATGGGCCCCCCTCTGCATCAGAAAGTCCCTCTGGAGGCCCTCTTTCCCCAGAAGAGGGGGGCCCCCCGGGGCCCCCGGGGCCCCCGGGGCCCCCGGGGCCCCCAGGGGGCCCCCCACCCTCCATGGGGGCCCCGGGGGGCCCCCCGCCCCCTCCAGGGGCCCCCTCATGTGCCG